CTGGTGCCCCTGACTCCCAGCCCTGGAATCTGTTATCCAGTGCAAAGAGCTCCAACTGGGAGCTGGGCTTGCTGTTGTGTGAGCTGCTGTCAAGTTGTCCCCCAACTCACGGTGACCCCAGGCACAACAGGATCAGACCATTGTGCTCCATAGGGTTTTCATTGGCTGATTTTTCAGAAGTAGATCGTCAGGCCTTTCTTCCTAGTATGTCTTGGTCTGGGTTTGGCATAGGGCCTCCCTTAAGATTTGTGGTTGAATGGAAGTGAGGCCCAGACAGAGGCAGGACACTCGGCCCCTCCCAGGCTGGAGGCTGCTTTGGGATCTGACCCATGGCAATTCCCAGCAGTGGGAAAGCAGCTTACTCCCTGTTGTCTTCCTCCATGGGAAATAGTGGACCACCCCATGATGGCTCACGATGACTCTGAGGTATGATTTCAACAATTCTTCCCGCACGTCCCTGCAGGCAAACCTTTAGGGGAAAAAATTACATAAGAAAAGTGTGCTTCTAAGTTAAATAACTGGCTTTTGTTTTTTCTCTTCCAGCCAAGGGCTCCACTTCTTCTACAAGGTAAGTGCATCAGTGGGCTTGGATGCTTCTCCAGTTACTAGTTGGTTGTTGACAACCCGAAACACTGCAGAGCGTAGTCCACACCACTAACCCTCACTTCTATGCTATGCAACGTTTTTATTCTTTGTCATTCATTGTAATCTCCGCGTGCCAGGGCTGTTCTTAATTATTGCTTTGATTTGAGGCATTGAGTTCTTGCCTGCTGTCCCTGACAGTGACAGAAGCCTCCAAGCTTCCTGCACTCCTAGACGCCCTACACACTCTGCAGACTCCATCCCAGGCCCTGGTTGTATACTTTGTTCTTTCCTTGATTCAGTAGATATTCATTGAGTACCTGGCATGGGTTGGCCCTGGAAACGGTGTGGTGGCTAACAGCGAGAGCGTCTGTGCATCCCTGAAGCTTACAAATACTTGGGAGCTCAGGTGACTCTGTGACACCACAGACGGCGCATTCGTTTGTTGATTTCATGTTTGCAGTAATTATTTTCTGAGTCCCTACTATGTGCCAGCTCTGTCTGGGTGCTGGGGACTCAGCAGGGAAGAGATGTGGGCCAGGCCTGCATGGGGCTTACCACTAGTGGGGGAAGCAGGCAAGAGCACAGAAGTAAGCACTGTGGAATGTCATGTCAGGGGATGTGAGTGCTGTCAGAAAGGATCAGACGTGGTAAGGGGATGGAGATTAATGGGGGGGCGGTCTTAGGTAGACGAAGGAGGCCTTCCTGAAGAGGTGATGAGAGCAGGGACTTGAAGCTAGGAATCTCTGATGGGGAGGAGCATGCTGGGCCAGAGAACAGCCACTGCAAAGGCCCTGTGGTGGGTGTGGGTGGTGGGCACGAAGAACAGGGAGGAGGCTCATGTGGCTGGGGCAGAGGGGAGGGGAGGACTTGAGGTCGGGAGATGGAGGTGCACGGTCTCTTATCTGAAGCCCTTGCAGCCAGATGTGCTACTAATTCAGACTTTTTCACTTAGGAAGGTCCCTATTCACCCCAGCAGGGTAGGGGCCTTAATCCATAATCAAACATGTTGATGCAACTGCAGAGAAATATGTGAACATCCACGTTGTTGTTGTTGTTAGGTGCCGTCAAGTTGATTCCGACTCGTAGTGACCCTCTGTACAACAGAATGAAACAATGCCTGGACCTGCGCCATCCTTGCTGTGTTTGAGCTTATTGTTGCAGCCACTGTGTCAATCCATCTCACTGAAGGTCTTCCTCTTTTTCACTGACCCTCTATTTTACTAAGCATGATGTCCTTCTCCAGGGACTGGTCCCTCCTGATAACATATCCAAAGTATGTGAAACGAAGTCTCGCCATCTTTGCTTCTAATGAACATTCTGGCTATACTTCTTCCAAAACAGATTTGTTCGTTCTTCCGACAGGCCATGGTGTATTCAGTATTCTTTGCCAACACCGTAATTCAAAGGCATTGATTCTTCTTTGGTCTTCCTTATTCATTGTCCAGCTCTCACATGCATACAAGGCGATTGAAAACACCATGGCTTGCGTCAGGCACACCTTAGTCCTCAAAGTGACATCTTTGCTTTTTAACACTTTGAAGAGATCTCTTGCAGCAGATTTGCCCAATACAATGCATTGTTTGATTTTTTGACTGCTGCTCCCATGGGCGTTGATTGTGGATCCAAGCAAAATGAAATCTTTGACAACTTCAATCTTTTCTCTGTTTATCATGATGTTGCTTACTGGTCCGATTGTGAGGATTTTTGGTTTTTTTATGTTGAAGTGTAATCCATACTGAAGGCTGTGGTCTTTGATCTTCATCAGTAAGTGCTTCAAGTCCTCTTCACTTTCAGCAGGCAAGGTTGTGTCATCAGCATAACCCAGTTTGTTAATGAGTCTTCCTCCAATCCTGATGTCCCGTTCTTCATAATTGGGTCCAGCTTCTCGGATTATTTGTTCAGCATACAGATTGAATAAGAAGTATGGTGAAAGGATGCAACCCTGATGCACACTTTTCCTGACTTTAAACCAGGCAATATCCCCTTGTTCTATTCAAACGACTGCCTCTTGGCCTAAGTACAGGCTCCTCCTGAGCAGTTAAGTGTTCTGGAATTCCTTTTCTTTGCAGTGTTACGCCTAATTTGGTATGATCCACACAGTCGAATGCCTTTGTATAGTCAATAAAACACAGGTAAATATCTTCCTGGTATTCTCTGCTTTCAGCCAAGGTCCATCTGACATCAGCAGTGATATCCCTCATTCCACATCCTCTTCTGAATCCAGCTTGAATTTCAGGCAGTTCCCTGTCTATATACTGTTGTAACTGCTTTTGAATGATCTTCAGCAATATTTTACTTGTACGTGATTATTAATGATATTGTTTGATAATTTCCACATGCTGTTGAATCTCTTTTCTTTGGAATGGGTACAAATATGGATCTCTTCCAGTCTTGGCCAGGTAGCTGTCTTCCAAATTTCTTGGCATAGACTTCTAGTGCTGCATCCATTTGTTGAAGCATCTCAGTTGGTATTTCGACAATTCCTGGAGCCTTGTTTTTCGCCAGTACCTCCAGTGCAGCTTGGACCTCTTTTTCAGTACCATCGGTTCTTGATCATATACTACCTCCTGAACTGATTGAACGTTGACCGACTCTTTTTGGTACAGTGACTGTGTATTCCTTCCATCTTCTTTTGATGCTTCCTGTGTCATTTAATATTTTCCCTAGAGAATTCTTCAATATTGCAACTCCAGGCTTGCATTTTTTCTTCGGTTCTTTCAGCTTGAGAAATGCTGAGCATGTTCTTCCTTTGCCTTTACTTATATTAACCCATTTGTAATTTAATTATCACAAGAAACCCTATGATTTATTATCATCCCTGTTTTATAGACCAGTGGTTCTCACACTTGAATGTGTAACAGGATCACCTGGAGGGCTTGTTAAAACCGATTACTGGGCTCCACCCGAGAGTGTCTGATTCAGAATTTGTATTTCTAATGAGTTCTTGGGTGGTACTGATGCTGCTGGTCCCAAACCACACTTTGAGAACCTCTGTTCTAGAAGCTTATTGTTGTTGTTAGTTGCCATCAAGCCAATTCCAACTCATGGC